ACCTTATATGACTTGGTGTTGAGCATGACATAAGAGCAAAGTCTTTAAAAAAGATATATACATTTTAAAATTAACTAAGCGAGAAGGGATGTACTCACTTCAACACTGCCGAGATGAAATGACTTTGAAGATTTCCCAAGTATTCTCCAATATTCTGCCTACTGAGACCTTTCCTTGATATTAGAAACCGTGCAACAGCCTTAGGAGTTGCTTCCAAGAAGCCCCTTTTAATGAGGTAATTAATCCCCTTTTCTGGTTTTTTGTTGAAAAGGTTCAAACCTACTCTGTACTGGCGTTTTCTTTGTATTTCTGGTGTTTGTAGCTATAGAAAAAATTCAAGTTATTGAATAATAAAATTGAAAAAGAGAGAAAATCTTTTAGTTTTTTTTAAAGTTAGCAACAACTAAACAACACGGATAAAAGATAACACTTGAATTCCGCTCCGATTTGTTTTTTTTTTTTACTAAATTTGAAACAATTTTAAAGAGCAATTGGGAAAACTGTATGATTACAATCTTATAAATGTGTTGAGATTATGAATAGCAAAAACGTTTTACTTTTAATGAATTTTAAATTTTATAACGTGGATAATAATTAAATCAATTTAATACAATATTGATGGAGTCATCTTTAAGTATTTAAATTGTATAAAAAATATATGATGAGGAATGTCAATCATACTATATGTGGTGATGACGCTGAGGTCATATTATGAACTCTACAACAGTCTGAGTAGCTATGTCCAGAGGATGTACCAGGAGGAGTTGTTGAATAACTTCCACTTTCCAGGCTGTCTTCACTATTTTCTGAGATGTTGCTTAATCTTTTATCATCTACCTGTCCACCAGATGTTGCTTGTTCAGCCACAAGAACTTTTTTCAATGCTGGGGAAGCTTCGAAACTGAATTTCATGTGAGATTTTTTAGTTTTCTCAGCATGTTCTGAATTACTGTCCAATTCTGTTGCTGACTTATTATCAACTCCAAATTTTCTTGATTTATGATTAAACAATGGAACTTGGTAGGACTTTTCAGGGAGCTTGTTGCGAGGTTTCACTGCTTGCCCTGGGATGGAGGAAATCATTCTTAAATCTTGATTTGGGAGTTTCTTTTGCTCTACACAAAGTGGCATGGACTTTCTTTGATCCAGATCATCACTAGCTTTAACTGTCGTCCACCAAAGTTTGCAGGGATCTGGCTGAGAGGTACATGTCACAGAGATATTAACAGTCTGTCTGGCTGAAGAAGTCTGGCAAACTTGTTGTTCTTCAGATATGGAATATACAATAGAGTCTCTTGTTCCACTCTTCAACAAGATAAAACATATCGAATTAGTTAAATAAGTATTCTTGAAAATTAAAAATTCTAGACCATGATAACTTACTGTTCCTATCTCTGCATGTAATAGGAGTAACAAACATAAGAAAGCTGCCGTAAACTACTAATATTTGAAATTTAACTAACAATTATGCATCTAACTATTATATGTAATAGAGCATTATGAAAGCTGGGGGGGGGGGGGCACACGTGACCTTATAGCAGACAAACTCACAAAATAATACAACAGAGTTAGTTTCTAAGACTCTTAGGTATAGTGATGTTATTATAGGAACTTAGAGAATATTTATGTTATGATTATGAATGAAAAACAAAATGATGTTGTTGAAATTATAAGCAGAAGTTTCAAGTTTGTTAGTGACTTTAATTATGATTAACAGTAGAAAATTAAGTTGGTAAATACTACTGACAGAAATTCGATGTCTATTACTAGGAGTTTGTTGTGATTCACAAAACAACGCTCATCCCTGGTAGGTCAGCGGTAAGTATGAGAGCTTATAACGCTAAAAGTCGGATTTCGATACTCGTGGTAGGCACAACATAGATAGCCCATTGTGTAGCTTTGTGCTTAACAGCAAATAAACACAGCGTAAAGCGATGCAGGTCACATTACAGACGAAAAGTTCGAAGTTTGTTCCTGTGTGATTATTGTATATTGATGACGTAAACAGATAACTTTTATTTCAACTGTTAAGACCTAAATGTTCTATCCAATAGTCAGAGTTCTTCAAATATGAAGGGAACACAAAAAGTTTATAATTTCTATACGTTAGTGTGGTTTGTGACTTAACATGAGTTTAAAACTTAACAAGAATTATTTTAAAAGATTTTTTTTTATCACAGAACAAACAATAACAATCCATTACAAAATATTTTATCTGGTTTTATTTTAACTTCAGTTGTAAATTTTAAGACAAATATTATAAACCAAAGTTTTCAAACGGAATTATCTCTCTTTTTTTTTAATACATATTTTAATTAGTTAACCCGTGTGTCTATAGCCCACAATTACAGGGCCGCTATAATGAAAATATTATTTATTTAACCAAGATACGAATGGTAATTAGTTGTTTTTTTCCCCATAGTCCTTGAGGACCGTCGAGCCGATGGCAGATCTTGCTCTGCATGTTTGGTGGGAC